TTGCTTTGTCTGTCACAAGTAATCTAAAAATAAGATTAAGATGTTTAGCCGGGCGTTGGCGGCACACGCCTTTAATCCCAGCACTCGGGAGGCAGAGCCAAGCAGATCTCTGTGAGTTCGAGGCCAGCCTGGGCTACCAAGTGAGTTCCAGGAAAGGTGCAAAGCTACACAGAGAAACCCTGTCTCGAAAAAACAAAAAGAGAGAGAGAGAGAGAGAGAGAGAGAGAGAGAGAGAGAGAGAGAGAGAGAGAGATGTTTAAAATGCTCCAAAATATATCATTTTGTGAGGAGTTAGCTCCGCAGCGGCACTTAGTGTGCCCCGGCATGGCTACAGGTGCTCTCCATGCCTTGTTCAGTTGGCCGTTCACCAGCACCAGAGAGAGCTCCCCAGCATTGCACCCCCAGGCACAGAGCCAGTGGTTTTGACTGGCACCAGGCTCTGAGTGTGGCCCTGTCCACCACTCTGCATTGCCTCTCATGAGTCAGAACTTGAGGGCTTGGGAATGAAGACACCCAGGCGGAGAGGAGAGACACTTGCAAAGCTCAAGGGTCTTCTTCCGTCGTTTCCTTTAGACTAACTCTCACCATGCCAGGCTGGCCTCAGCTTCCCAAGTGCTAGAATCACAGGCATGTACCAGCACACTTAACTCTTTCCTGGCCATTCACATAGGGTCTGCGGTGGACAGAACTCAAGGTCCTGCCAGGAGTTTAGGAAGAGACATAGCTCTTTGTTTTGTTTTGTTTTTCTGAGGCAGGGTCTCACTATGTAGCTGTGACTGTTCTGGAACTCTCAGTGCAGACCAGGCTGACCATGAACCCATAGAGAGCTGTCTGCCAAGTGCCGGGATTAAAAGTATGCTACCACATAAGAGTACAACCCTTAGGTTAGTCACACAGATACTCCCAGCATAGAAAAGGCAGGGCTCGTCTGTATTGGGGCTGTTTATCTCCAGAGCCCCTGAAGTCTCCTCTGTGACACCCTGACACTCAGGCTCCTAAACACCTGTTCTCACCCTAGGTGATGGGCGCTACTCCCTGTTGGGTCAGCCGCTACAGTACAATCTGTCCATCTGCCCTCCCCTGCTCCACGGCCAGTCAGCGTACACGGTGCACCAGGTGAGCACACACCGTCAGTCTGGGGCCGTCAGACCCCTCCTCCTCTGGCCCTGTCTGTGAGCCTCTGCTTCAGCCAGGTGGGTGGACACAGGACAAAGCAAAGAGAGTCCCCTCCTGTCTGTGCTCACGGCTCCCACCCCAGTGCCCAGAGGGAGAGGTGTTAGGGAAGTCTCACTGCCTGGTGAGGTGGGGTCCTCAGGGTGGGACGCTACTCCTCAGTCTCTAGGGCAGACCTTGGGACACAAGGCAGTAAAGGTTCACTTGGGATGAGAGTTCTCTTGGATGTTGAAGGGACAGAGTGGACTGAAGCATGGGAACCGGGCCAAGAGACAAGCACTCAAATCTGCCTCCACCGACCTGGGCACAGCAGACGTTGGTGAGTAGCCGGACCCCAGGGAGAAAGGCCCTTCATTGCCGTCCCAGTAGAGTGGGAAGCTGGTGTGGAGCGGGGGACGGACAAGCAGACGGGAGAGGGGTGAACTGTCCGTGTCCCTGGGCAAGCCCTCCGGGTCCTGAGAGACCATCCTAGACGTTGGGTGCAGCGTGGTGACGGCAGTGGTTGCCCTCTCTAAGCCGTCTCCTAACCTGACAGTCCTCTGTCACCCCAGACCCGAGTCGGGGCGGGAGAGCGTGGGAGAGCAGCTTTCTCCCTCAGGCCTGCCATGCCAGGTCTGCAGCTGCTGCCTAAACAAGGGAAGAAAGGGACCGGACGTCCCTGGCCCAGCCTCTGGGTGGGAGGAGCTGTGGGTCACATTCAGGTTGGGCCACCGAGTGTATCAGGAGTGACTGAGAACCTGCCCTTACAGCCTGATGAAGGGAAACTCAAGTACTACTTCTCAGTCTTTGTCACTTTGTGTCGGGGTTGGAGAGAGGAGGGTTCCTCGTCTCCCCGGCCGCCCCAGCCCCCACATGGAGTCTCTGTGGGGATGTTAGGTTGATGGGGGGCTGACTGGGGAAGGGAAGGCTTTGGAGGGCTTTGTGTGCAGGCTTGCTCGGTGACTGCCAGGCACTGTGAGCCTTGCTCAGGGTCTCTCATCTCCCCCTTTCAGTGCTGGGGAGGGTGCTGGAGGTGACAGACCTCCCTGAAGGAATCACCCGTACAGAGGCGGACAAACTCTTCACCCAGCTCGCCATGTCTGGTGCCAAGATCCAGTGGCTTAAGGATGCTCAGGGGCTGCCTGGTGCAGGCGGCGGCGATAACAGTGGGCCGGGGGAGAATGGGCGCCACTCGGACCTCGCTGCCTTGTACACCATAGTGGCTGTGTTCCCCAGCCCCTTGGCCGCCCAGAATGCCTCCCTTCGCCTCAACAACTCTGTGAGTCGCTTCAAACTTCGAGTGGCCAAAAAGAACTACGACCTGAGGATCCTGGAGCGAGCGAGCTCCCAATGAATGCAGGAGGGAGGACGGCACAGGAGGGGGGGCAGGGGGGCAGATGACTGGGCAGAGCCTGCCCCTCACGGCTGGAGAGAGAAGCAGACAGATTCCCACACCGGCCTGGGACTCCCTGCCAGGGGTCCCACTTTTCCCTGTTGGTCCCCTTCTGTCCTCCTCTCCTTCCCATCCTCTTCTACCTTTTTTTTTAAAATCTCTTCTCCCACCATGGAATTAATTTCTTTCATATTTTTTGGTCAAGTAGGATTGAGAGGGTCCCACATCCCCTCTTCTCCCATTTCCTCACCATCCCAGTCTCCCTCCTCTCTGGTCTTCATGAATATATTTATATGGACAGAATTAAGAAAAGTACATTGATTTCCCCTCTCTTCCTCATCTTGTCTCCCCACACCCCACAGAGTTAAAACTTGGGACCCCCCTCCTTCCCCAGAACACTGTATATTGTTTGTTTGAGGTTTGTGCCACAGTAACAGACACAGTATTCAATTGCACATACAGATGTTTGCTGGGTGTATTCACTGTACATTTTATTTAATCTGGTTTTTTGTTTGTTCGGGGAGTTAATGGGGGGGAGGTTGGTTTTGTTTATAAATATAAAAAAAGCAAAAACCTGTCACTGGACATCACTCACTGTTCTCTGAGGACGACTGGTGTGGAATGGGTTTCAGGCTCTGAGCAGGTCCAGTTCCACAGCCGCTGGAAGGGGCTTTTGTAGGTTGGGATGATTTCCCTAGGGTGTGCACATAGATCTCCTAACCTCTTCCTTCTGGCCCCTCCTCTTCCCTGTGCACATTCTTAGAGATGGCTGGGTCTGTGGTTCTCAAATGCACACTGCTCTTCATCAAGCACACTGCTCCTCAGCTCTGGGCCTTTGTATCCATATGAGAGGTTCCTTCTTGCCCATTAATTCTGCTACTCATTATATCCTTGCTGCTGAGCTGGGTGAGATGGTCCAGAACTGGGTCGAGATGCTGGCCTCGTTTCTGTCCATCTAGTCTTCTGAAACACCCTTCAGGGATGCAGAAGCCGCACCTTCATCCTGAGAGCAGAGGATCGGTTCTTGGCAGGAACATGTGGATGTCACTTCCAGCAAAACCAGCTGAACTTGCAGGGCCGAGCCCTGTCAGGGTAGCACGCTTACCTGTCCCATGCAGCCGACAGAACTGAAGACCAGAGTCACTGCGTGCGCCGTGGAGTTGACTGGAGAGTCTTCAGGCTTCTCAGTGCCACGGCCTGACAGCAGGGACACAAGAGCTCTCTGAGCCTCCAGCTCTCCGTTTTCCCTGTGTGTGTGTGTGTGTGTCCGTCTGTGTGTGTGTACATGTCCGTCTCTGTGTGTGTGTGTGTGTGTGTGTGTGTGTGTGTGTGTGTGTACATATCTGTGTGTGTGTGCGTGTGCATGTGTGTGTGTGTGTGTGTACATGTGTGGTGTGTGTACGTGTGCGTGTGTCTGTGTCTGGTGCAGAGGCAGGACTCTGGATTCAGCGTGGTGGAGCATACCTTCTTTTAATCACAGTGCTCAGAAACCAAACAGGCAAAACTCTTACATTCAAGACCATCCTGAACATAGCAAGTTCCAGAACAACTAGAGCTACATAGAGATTTTCCGAAAACACAAAAAACAAAACCCACACTCAATTACAACCTTGCCTTGGCTGTCCTCCAATATCTTGCAGCCATGTGATACCCTTAGAATAGAGAAAGCTGTATCTCTGAGAATGGCCACCCCCTTGGCCTTTCAGTTCCTACACTGGACTATCAGAGTTGAGAGAAGGACTTGCAATTAAAATGGTTAAAACTGCCAAGTGGTGGTGGCACATCCCTTTAATCCCAGCACTCAGGAGGCACAGGCAGGTGGATCTCTGAGTTCGAGGCCAGCCTGGTCTACAAAGTGAGTTTCAGGACAGCCAGGGCTATACAGAGAAACCCTAACTGAAAAATAAAGGTTAAAAGTATAAGGCTTGGCTGTTTTTAAGTTATAAAGTATCCAGTTCTCATGGGGGAAGGGAACATTTACAGATGATAAAAACCCGCTGTACGGCCCCACCATGGCTCAGTGGGTACATACTGCCAAGCCTAGCAACCTGGGGTTGATGCCAGGACAAAGAGCAACCCTGGGTGAGCATCCTTCAGTCACCACTCACGTTAGGGACATGCACCAATAAGTGCACTACATGTAGTCTAAAAGGTAAACGAGCCTCATTGTAGAAGGCCGCTGTGGGCTGGTGAGGTTGACTCAAAGCAGCAGAGGTGCTTGTGTGCAAGGCCAGTAGACTTCAGTCCCTGGACCCCACCAGGGGGCAGGAGAGAACCCACTGCAAGCATTGTCCTCAGGCCACACGCCTGCACTCACACACACTCAGAAGAACCACTGGCAGCTGGGACATGGCCAGGGTCGGCTAAACTTTCATCTGCTCCTTAGACCTCTGGTGCCAACGGGCTTTTTTGTTTTTTAAGATTTGTTCTTTTATGTGTATAAGTGTTTTTGCCTGCATGTATGTATGTGTGCTGTGTCTGTGCCTGATGCCTACAGAGGCCGGAAGAGGGTGTGGAGCCTCTGGAACTGGAGTTGCAGACAGCCCGTGTGTGGGTGCTGGGCACCCACCCAGGTCCTCGGTGAAAAGCTGTGCATCTCTCCAGCCCCATAGCTTTTGGGTTTGACCACCCACCATCTTTTTCAGTAACTCGGATATTCTCTTTTCCCCAAGGATAGACTTGTAGAGGACAAAGGAGAAAGGCCCCCTTGTGCTCTTGAGAAAGGAGTAAAATAGCAAGCACTACACTCTGCTCAGCTGGAGATGAGAAAGCAGTCTCGCACGGCTGACCGAATTCTGCCTCACACCCTCAGCTCCCAGCCCTCCCCTGGCCTAAACTTTTGGGGTCAGCCAGGCACGGAGGTGCACACCTTTAATCGTAGATTTCCGAGTTCGAGGCCAGCCTGGTCTACAAGAGCAAGTTCTGGGACAGCCAGGGCTACACAGAGAAACCCTGTCTCAAAAAAACAAGCCCTCCTCCCCCACCAAAAAAAGGAAACAAAACCCGAGAAAGTGACGAAGTGCGCCCAGGGAGGGTAGAACTGGAAAGGTGGTTAGCGTTAAGGGGAAAGTATGAGGAAGTCATCCTGACTTCACCGTCAGACATCTAAAATCACACGAGTGAGTATGGGGAACAGAAGCCCTTTCCTGTAGGGTTTTAGCTTGCTGGTCGGAAACATGGTTAGCATGGCAAAGGCCCCGGGTTCGATCCCTGGTACTCGGAGTGGGGAAGGGTACTGCGGTGTTAGGTAGGAAATGCCCCTTCCCGAGGAGCTGACCTGCTCAGTGGAAACTCAGAAGAGCAGCTGGGGGGGGGGGGGAGGAGTCAGGGTCCAGCCCTCCCTGCCCCAGACCTCCTGGTTCCAATTTCTGCCCGTCAGCTGTCCTCTCAGCTGTCCCCAGTCCTCCAGTCCTGTCATTACAGCCCTGCCACCACGGTGAGAGGCTAGGAGGCCGCCCAGTACTGAGTAGCTGTGTGAGTCCAGAAGGAAGGTACGGGGGGCTTAGCCCTGGAGGAAGAGGACTAGCCCTCCCCCAGCACCACCGTCAAGGCCTTAGGGACTCCCTCTTTCCACACTGATCTGACTTAGGGAGTCTCAGAAGTAAGTCGTCTCTTCCTCGTCGTTTCATTTCCCGAGTCTGTTCGGCTTCTTCCTTTCGCTCCTTATCTGTGAGTAGTGTGAACTGTCGAAGTGAAATTGTCCAACTTCAGGGTGAGTCAAGACTGGAGAGGGGGCGAGGGGTGGGGGGTTCCAGAGAATGGAATAGTAAGGGAAGGGGAGGCTCGTGTTACTCTGAAAACCAAAATAGCAGAGGCCTGAGGCAGGCCAGGACAGAACTAGGCGCAAGGTCCCCAAGGCTCAGGAGCGAGTGACCGAGGCACACACCTTCATCCGTGTAGACAAGAACACCTCCTGAAGCCATGAGAAGGGGTGTATTGCATCAGTCATGAGTATGTGTAGGACTGTGGTTCTCAACGTGTGAGTGGTCGCATGTCAGATCTCCTGCATATCAGATATTCACATTACGACTCATAACAGTAGCAAAATTAGAGTTATGAAGTAGCTATGAAGTATTTTAGGGTTGGGGGTCAGCACAACACGAGGAACTGTTAAAGGGTTGAGAACCACTGCCATAGGAGAACCCAGAAGCCAACAGCCTTGAGCAACATTGGATTTGTAGACGCGGGGGCTGCTCCTTGACATGGAAAGACAAGAATCAGTTTAAGGAACTGGTTGAGAAGTCTTCCGTCTGTTGGACATTTTTTTCTGGACCTCTATAGAATCTGTTCACAGACTCTACCAAAGGCCGTTGAACCAAGGGTCCCCCGAAGCCTCCCTTGGAGGGCCACCCCACTGCCTGCAGGCCGTCAGGGATCAGCTCTCAGTGGGCTCCACCCTCTTGCAGGATGACAGAGAAGGAGGCACCGGAATCCCCTAAGCCCCCTTTCCCATCAGAGACTCCACAAAGTGGGGTGAGTCTGGACCCTTGGTCACTGGGGGCAGGGGTGTCGGAGGGGCTGGGAAGCCTTGACAACGTGTAAAGAAAACCGCTTGAGTAGATCCCACTTGTGTGTGGCTCGTTTGTTACCGGGCTAGCCCGACACCTGCAGCCCCAATCCACAAGTCCAGGGACATTGCTTTCCCACGATAGAAAAATGAACAAGTGACGTCATTTAAGATTGAGTTTCTTGCACCCCCTCCCCCCCAGCTACAACGCCTGAAGCAGTTATTCAAGAAGGGCTCTCCAGAGACTACGGAGATGGAACCTCCCCCAGAGCCCCAGGCCAATGGAGAGGCAGTGGGGGCCGGGGGTGGGCCCATCTACTATATCTATGAGGAAGAAGAGGAAGAGGAGGAGGAAGAAGAGCCACCCCCAGAACCTCCTAAGCTTGTCAATGATAAGCCCCACAAATTCAAAGACCACTTCTTCAAGAAGCCCAAGTTCTGTGATGTCTGTGCCCGGATGATTGTGCGTGAGTCTTGAAGGGACTAGAGACCGTGAGATGGAAGGCTTGGGGGGTGGGAGAGGGCTTAGCAAAGCTGTGTCTGGCACAGACACACTGGCAAGGTTCACCCTGTGAAAAGACTGAGATGGATAGCGTAGGGTGCCAGAGGAGGGCAGGCCCTTCAGAGCTGAAGTAGCCGCGGTGGTACAAAGGAAAACGGGAAGCCAGAACCTTACTCAAATGTTCTCCCCCTTCAAGTCAATAACAAATTTGGGCTCCGCTGTAAGAACTGCAAAACCAACATCCATGAACATTGCCAGTCCTACGTGGAGATGCAGAGATGCTTCGGCAAGATCGTGAGTGACAAGGCTTGCTCTGGGGAGCAAGAACGTGGAAGAGGAGACCCGGGCCATCAGGGACTTGCTGGCCCCTAAAGCCATACGTTTCCCGGTTGTCTCTTTCTCAGCCCACCCCTTACTCTGAGCAGGGCTGAGTCCTCGTGGGGGAGGAGGTTCTGGACCTACCTTGCTCCCTCTCATGCTTTCCCCATCCCATCCTACAGCCTCCCGGCTTCCGTCGTGCCTATAGCTCCCCGCTGTACAGCAACCAGCAGTATGCTTGTGTCTGTAAGTGCCCACCCGGGACGGAGGGAGTGGGCGGGTCTCAGAGACTACTCCACGCCACCTCTTGGAAAGTCGAGTCTGAAATGGGATCACTCTGTTTCCATAGTTCCTTCTCAGCCTAGTATTTTTACAGCCATTTTTGGATGCACTGACTAGTCCTTTGGTTTATAGCCGAGAGAGACATGAGTGAGCAAGGACCACAAATAGCCGGAGGTCGAGATAAGGATGAAACCATAGTCTGTTCCTTTCAAACCATTTCTAAGCAAGAGCAAGGCTTCTGGCCTGTTTTCGCCCTGTTAGAGTGACACCCATACTCAGGGCCGGCCCATGAGCTACAGATACCCCCCTGGACAAGTTCCTAATGTGGCAACCCTTAAAAGTGTATTCATGGAGATCGCCGTGTTGGCGCACGCCTTGAATCCCAGCCCTCACGAGGCAGAGGCAGGCGGGTCTCCCTGATGTCCATCTATAGCCAGGGCTACAGAGTGAAACTGTCTCAAAAAGGAAAACACGTGTATTCGCTGAAAATTTGCTCAAATGGGTTTGGCCGAGAAGCTCAACTCCACAAAGAGTGTGAGTTCAAAGGAATGTGCTGGTGGTGGCACCCGGCTCGCCCACATGCCACTCAGCAGAACAGAAGCCAGCATAGCACAGGACCGGGAGGGGTCCCATCACAGGGCATTCCGAGGGGGGGTTAGAGCCCTTCTAGACCGGTGGCCTAGGTATCCCGCAGCTGGCCTTCCCGCTTCTCTCCATCTCCACTCCCCAACAAGTCCCGGAGCGGATGGATCCACCGACTCCCCTGTGTCCTTGGAAAGGGCTCTCCCTCCAAGCCCTCCTCGGCGGGCCTTCCCAGTAATCGACTCTCTCTCCTCCCACCCCACCAGCCTCCGCCAATCGCAACGACCCTGTGTTTGAGACCCTGCGCGTCGGGGTGATCATGGCGAACAAGGAGCGGAAGAAGGGACAGGCAGATAAGAAAAATGTGAGCTTGTTTGGAGGTTCTAGCAGGGGAGCGCAGCTACTCGTATACCCTTGACCAAAGACCGGTCCTCCTCTATTCGGGGAAGGTCCTCCTCTTCCACCGAGCACACAGCTTCGGGAGGGACACACATGGAGCGGTGAGGGAGGAAGGGGACACCCGCCTAGCCAGCCAGATCAGCCGAATCAACTCTGGCACTCGGGAGGCAGAGCCAGGCGGATCTCTGTGAGTTTGAGGCCAGCCTGGGCTACCAAGTGAGTTCCAGGAAAGGCGCAAAGCTACACAGAGAAACCCTGTCTTGAAAAACCAAAAAAAAAAAGAAAAGAAAAGAAAAATGTGAGCAGCCCATGTCGCCGCTGCAGAGGCCCGTGGCAGGAGCTCCATGGGGCAGGTCATTTCCCCCTTGGGGAAACTAATAGAAGCTATGGATCCTCTGCCCCCAGATGGTGCAGCATAACCAAGCAGAAAAACATTCCTGTGTGAAACTGTAGAATTTTTTTTTAAAGCATTTTATGCACCTCACCAGAAAAAAGAAAAAAAAAAAAAAGAATCCTGCCATAGGACTGAGAATATAGTTCTGTGGTGGAGTGCTTGCCTAGTATGTATGTGTAAGGCATCCATCCTGGTTTAACACCCAACATTGAAAAACAAACTCACTCCAGCCACAGAACGTGATTCCTCAACTCCCTTCCAAAATTGGCAGTCAAGTACCACAGAAGGCTTAAGAAGGCCTGGCACTGTGGGCCACAGGGGCAAGATCTGTGCATTTTGCATTTGGGGAAGAGAATTTGTCATTCCAAGTAACTAGAGAATTCTGGAGCCCGCAGGTGTCCTTGAAGGTCATCTGGTGTGTGACCTGTTCACCTTGTAGATGAAACAGAGGCACAGATCTGCTCCTGGGCAAGGGCAGTCTCCTTGTCTTTTACAATAGAGATACAAGGTTGGCAAGGCCAGAAGTGGGTTGGCCTGGGCAAGCGATTAATTCCTCCCTGGACAACCTTATGATGTTAATTAAAGCGACTCCCATTCTGGGGTCTCTGTGGGCACCAGGCATGCGCTCATAAAATAACAATAAACAAAATCTCAGAGCAGCGAGTGCTCGTCACCACTCTCCAGCAAGCCCCATCCCCTGATTATGGAGACAGGGTCTCAGGTGGCCTAAGCCAGCATCAGGGTGATCTTGAACATTGATCCTCCTGCCTCCACTTCCTAGGTACTGGGTAACTGATACTTGTCATCACACCTATGTGATGGTAGGGATCAAAACCAGGGCTTCTTCATGCTAGGCAAGCAACCCGCCAACTGAACCACATCTCTGACACATATTCTTTTCCATTCTGCTATGTAGCACAGACTTCGTGTAACTTGCTCTACAGCCCAGTCTGTCCTGAGTTCTCAATCCTCCTACCTCAGCATCCTGGTGCTGAATTGGAGGCATGCACAGCCTTGTCTGGCTTTAACAATTTGAAAGTTCAACTCGGTGGTGGTGGCCCAAACCTTAAATCCCAGCACTGGGGAGGCAGAGGCAGGCACATCTCTGTGAGTTCCAGGACAGCCAGGACTGTTACACAGAGAAACTCTGTCTTGAAAATAATTAATAATAATAATAATTTGAAAATTCATAAGAGAACATTTACTTGTGGGAAAAAAACTTTCTGGAAACAAAACTAGAGATCTGATCTCAAAGTAGTTGACATAAAGCTTGGGTATGGATGACAAATTTCAGTCAACTGAACTATGATTTTCAAGGCTGTTTCAGGAAAAACATCCATATTCTTAGGTTCTGTTCTTAAAACGAAACTGTGAAAACTATGTTGCCAGACAGGTAAAGTGGTCATGCCTGTAATCCTAGCATGTGGGAGCTAGAGGCCAGAAGAGCAGGAATTCAAGGTCATTCTGGCCACATAAGGAGTCTGAGAACAGCTGGCTGCCTGAGACTGCCTCAAAACAACAGAGAGAGGGAGGGAGGGAGAGAGAGAGAGGGAGGGGGAGAGAGGGACAGAGAGAGGGAGAGAGAGAGAGAGAACACTGTGCCCCCCCCAAATGCCCTGTCTTATACATTGGAGTATTTTTAATCAGACAGTATAATGAAGGGCCTGAAATCTGGATCATAGAGGTGATTTGCAGGGACTAAAAACTAGGGGAGAAGAGAATCCAGAAAGGATTTGTCTGCTGTCCTTAGATATTTAGGGACCATGTTTGTTTCACATTTAAAGCCCCAAGAAGGCAAATCAAGACAAATAACTAAAGGTAAGAGGGAAGCTGATGTAGCTTAATAAGAGGAGTTGGAAAAGAAAATCACGTGGTTACATTGTGAGGTAGTGAGCTGTGTTCAGGCCTACACCAGAGGAAATTCCTGCGTTAGGCAGGTGGTGGGACTAATGTTTTCTCCAAGTGTTCTTCTAGTGCTTAGATACTGTTGTTCTACAACTCTCTGGCCTGCCCGGAGAAGCAGGGGAAACAGGTTCCAAAGACAGCATCCCTCTAACTCTGGTGTCCCCTCCAGCCTCTGGCAGCCATGATGGAGGAGGAACCAGAGTCAGCCAGGCCAGAGGAAGGCAAGTCCCCGGATGGTGAGTGAGTGCCACCCCTCGCCATCCACAGAGAGGGCATGGGGTCAGTGTAGTCAAGGGTGGAGAGGGAAAGGCTGGGCCCAGGGTGAACGTCCTCCAGCCCAAGGGGAAGGGGGTGATGGGTGCCCTGCACGGGCAGAAGCCATCGGTCTGTATTTCCCATCCAAGGAAACAGAGCGGAAGGAGACAAGAAGGCTGAGAAGAAAACACCGGATGACAGAGTAAGACTTTTCTACCTGTAGAACCCCGGCCCTCATCTTCCCATCGCCCTCCACCCCCTCTTCACACCGAGGCAGACACACAGAAACCAATGCACTCCCCTCCTGGAAGAGCTGGTAAAGGAGTTGAGAAACTCATCCCTCTCTTTCATCCTCCCCCCCCCCCCCCCCAGCACAAGCAGCCTGGCTTCCAGCAATCTCATTACTTTGTGGCTCTCTATCGGTTCAAAGCCTTGGAGAAGGATGATCTGGATTTCCCGTGAGAAGCCCTCCAGGGAGGCGGGAGTGTGGGGAGCACGGAGGAGCAAGAGATGCGCTCTCCGTGGGAATGGAAAAGGGCAGGTGCCCTGGGCTTCTGTTCTGCAGCCGCGCCTGCAGCACCGCCAGGGACTGGTGTGTGCGTGTAAATCACGGAGCGCTCTCCTCCTTCCTGTCCCAGGCCAGGGGAGAAGATCACGGTCATCGATGACTCCAACGAGGAGTGGTGGCGGGTGAGATGGGCGGCGGGAGCTAAGGTGGGCCGTGGGGAGGGTCTAGAACCCGAGATCGGCAGCCTACCTACTCCGCTCTCTAGGGGAAAATCGGAGAGAAGGTCGGATTCTTCCCCCCGAACTTCATCATTCGGGTCCGGGCTGGGGAACGTGTGCACCGCGTCACCAGATCCTTTGTGGGCAACCGCGAGATTGGGCAGATCACCCTGAAGAAAGACCAGGTAGCTCGGGTGCCCGAACCCGCTGCTCCCAGGCCTGGTCGCGCCTCCCCCGGCTTCCCTGCTCCAGCCGGTCTTGAATTCAGCTCCTGCTCCCCCATCCTTTCACTCCCCAGATCGTCGTGCAGAAAGGAGACGAAGCTGGCGGCTATGTCAAGGTCTACACCGGCCGCAAGGTGGGGCTGTTCCCCACCGACTTCCTGGAGGAGATTTAGGTGTGGTGGCGCCCGCGGGCCGGAGACACCCAGGCCTGGTTCTGGGCGGGGCCCAGTGCGGGCTCGGGAGGGGGGGAGGCTGCTGGAGGAGGAGGGGGTGCTGGGGTGCTGGAGGAGGAGGGCCGGAGAGGCCTGCGGGAGCACGGTGACGTCTCTGGGGAGGGGCTGCCCCCCACCCCTCTCCCCTTGCCCGGGGCTTGGGATACCCGGAGCGCAGAGCGGGCGGCACCAGGAAGACCCACCCTGGAGGCCTATCCAAGGGCTGGGGGGCGGGGGTGCACGCCCGTCAAGCGGCGCCCAGGGGCCCAGCTGTCTGTCAGAGGCTGCGAATCTATTAAAGTTTTGACAAAAGTTAGAGAAGTTTGTCTTTTTAACTGCGGATGTCCCGTCCCCCCCCACCCCCGGCCGCCCCACCTCCTACGGCCAGGTCACGGCTGGTGGGAGTGGGGCAGGCTTGCACTCGCTGGCCTAGGAAGAGAAAGGCCGGGCTGGAATGCCACCCCGCGGCCCTGTGGCCGGGAGAAGAGCGTGGCAGGGCCGGGTCCCCCCCTCCTAGGTCCTGGCCATGTCGCCCTGGCGGCTCAGAGCCTGGCTCGGCGCCCAGCGCGGCCGCCAGGGGGCGATGCGAGATCTCAGCTGGAGAGAGGGATTGGGGAGGGGATGAGGGGGGAGAACCGGAGACCCTAGGCCTGGGAGGGGGCGGGGTGCGTGCCGTCTCCATGGCAACGCTCCCTCCGGTCCTCCGGGAGCGCAGCGAGCCAGGCCGGGGGGCTGAGCCCTCCCGCGCGGCCCCTGCCCCCGCGCCTCCCCGACAGGTACGGAGCGGAGGACGCCCGGCCCGACCGATCCCCCCCCCCCCTGCGGCGCGCCGTATGCAAATGTTATTATTTGCATATGCAAATATGCAAATGTGCCGGCCCCGGTCAGGGCGGCAGGTGGCGAGGAGCGGGAAGGTGTGCAGGAGGGAGCGGGAGGAGGCAGGCGAGGAGTTTGGGGACCTAGGAGCCGGCCGGCCGGCCACGGGGAAGGCAGCCCGGGGTGGTCGCTGGAGCCGGGCAGGCGGAGGGGTCCTGGGTTTGAGGGCGGGTGGGGGAGGGCCGGCCTGGCCAGCCAGAAGCGCCTCTCCTTAGTCTGCGCGTTGTCTGCCAGGACCGAGGTTGGCACCGCCTAGCAAGGTTGGCAGCGGGAGCCCGGGCACCATCTGCTGCTGGAGGAGGGGGGAGGGCAGAGGCTCAGCTGGTCTGGGGAGAGGAGGGCCCCGGGACGGGCCTCCCCTCCCCTCCCCTCCCCTCCCTCCCTCCCCGGCAGAGAGATGAGGTGTACCAGGGGTCGGGAAGCACACAGCGCACACGGAGCAGAAGCCGGGCTCCGCTCCTTGTTCCCTTTGCCCTTGACTGTCACTCGGCCGGGAGAGGAACACTCGGACAGCCAGCCGGTCCCCTCGCACAAGAGAGGGCAGGAAGCATGGGGATGGATGCCCATTGCCTGTGTTCATCAAAGCGGTCCGAGGGCCTCACACACTGAGCTCCTCCCCGCCCCCCGGGACTGTCAAGAGCCCCCCAAAAATGCTGAAGCAAAACCAATTTACTGGCTCATTGGGCGGCAGTGTCGGTGTAGGGGTGTCGAGGAGCTGGGAGAGCGGCTGTTCGCTCCCGATGCTCGCAGGGTGCCCCCCCTTCTCCCTCGCCTTACCGAGCCGGCAGCTGTCCCTAATTAGAGCGGCGGTTTAATTGGATTTATCAGCAGTTAATAGGAAATTAAGCAAAGGGCCCGAGAGAAGGGGGGGGGGCGGGAGGAGCCCGGAGACAGGCTGCGCCTAACTGGAAGGAGGGGTGCTGGGGCCCCAGGGGTGGAGAAGAGTGTCTTGATTGAACCCGGTGATCATACCCTGCCCCTCAGCACTCTGCCGGATGAGCTGAGCCCCGGCCAATCCCAGGAGAGGCCGAGGTATGACAGGGACACTGTTTGGCCCCCAGTGCCGCCCACTCCCACAGGCCAGCAGCTGCCTGGGTGATGGATGGCGCTGCCACACACCGCAAAGGTCGTAAGTCTGGGCCAAGGAGCAGGCGGAATTGAAAATAGATCAGAGGAAGGGCCGGGGTGTTGTAGGGTCCAGGACACAATGTGCACCCACGCCGCTCCAGGTTCTAATGACTATTATCGAAAAGAATAAAGAAAAAGAAAATCTTAGCTGGTTGGGCGGCCTGCCCGGAGGTGGGACACCACTGACCCTGACTTCAGCCCTCACCTCCCCTCAGCTGGGGCTCCTGGGCATCTTCTAGGGCTGATGCCTGTATCCCACCAGCCATGGCTCCCCCTCTCCTGAGCTAAGTCGGGGCTGTCGCAATTGTTGCAGCAGGGACAGCCCGAGGTCTGTCTGTACCTGGAGGCCTGAGACGGAAGCTGGGGGGCCGGGGGGCGGGGGGCATAGGCCTCTGAGTCCACACACAGCCCCAGGCACCTCCTGTCACCACCTCCTCATTACGTGGCTGGGCTAATGTGGGCTAACAAGGCTTGGCCCAGCGACCTCTGTCACACTCTCAGCCCCCCGCAGGGCACAAATGGCAGCTCCGGCCGGCCTTTGCCTGGGTGCAACCCCTTGAAAAGCACGTGGGAGGCTCTCTGTCTCTGTGCTCCTGGTGTGGGGGGGATGTGCCCGTCGGAGGACGTGGTGTGTGCCTAGACCCCAGCCCCAGGTCCGTGTGTACCTGTGTGCGTGCTGATTTTGTCAGCCCGGGTGTCTACCCCCATTTCTATGGTTTCTTTAAGTCCCGGGGTGGCTAGGTGTGTCGAGCGTTCCTTCAAACGTGCTCTGACAGGTCCATGTGTCTGGTTGTGCCCCGGTGTGCAGGCGTCGTATGTGTGAAATTCTAGAGCCACTGCCGTGTGTTGTGTGTTGTGTGTGTGTGTGTGCGCGCACGCGCTGCTCTGGCGTCTCTGCTTGCAGGTGTGTGTGTGTGTGTGTGTGTGTGTCTCGGTGACGGTGCGTGGGCGTGTGCCTGGGTGTGAGCTGCGCGGCAGCATGTACCCGAATGACAGTGTGACGCCCGCGCCCGCGTGTGCGCGCGTCCCCGTGCACGAGAGAGAGAGAGAGAGAGAGAGAGAGAGAGAGAGAGAGAGAGAGAGAGAGAGAGAGCCTCTGATTGCGTCTCCCGCCCCCGCTTCTTTCTCTCCCTATTTCTATTCCTCTCTCCTTTCCCGGCCGGCTCGCCGCCGTCCGCATCATCTCCATCCATTATTGAAGAAACAGCCGCGTCCTCTCCAATCACATCAACACCCCGCCCCCTCCCTCTTCTGCTCGCCCCGTGGCCCCTCTGGCTGCCAGGGAGGAGGGGATGCCCAGGCATAGTGGGAGCCCTGGGCAGAAGTGGGTTCGTGACCCTGTGCCCCGGCCTGGGCAAGGCACCGGGACACCAGGGTCCCTAGTGGTGAGCGCTTTGCATAAACAGATGGCGCGGGCGTCTTTGTCTCGCTTGCTAGCCTGCTTGCCGCCAGGCTCCTGGCTCCACTTCTGTCTGGCTGCTGCAATCATGATCATCTCAGAGCCTCAGGACCCAGCGCCCTTAATAGTGGCAGTGGGGGGTCAAGGGCCCCCGGGGCTCCTGAGCAGATGCAGGGCATCGTGGCTCCCCTCTCGGGCGCCCTCTCCAGTACCTCAGCTGCAGCGGGAAGACAGAGGCCGCTGCGAGGTGACAGGAATGTGGAAGTGACGGGGAGGGGGCCCTGAGCGGTGCCCCCAAGGTGTCCGCGAGCTGTTCCGTTGGGTCGCTGCAACGCCTCGGGGACGGGTACTAAACCACGGAATAGAAATAGAGCTAAAGAATGGATGGGGGGGAGAGCGCGCATTTGCAGAGAGACCACAGCAAGGTGTGAAGGGAAGGAGAGGCTGTCGAGAGACACAGAGAAACAGACACGGAAGGACAAAGCTAGGTCGAGAGCAGAATGGCAAGGAGAAGCCCAGACATACCCCCAAGACAGAGCTAGAGAAAAGACAGTGCGCGAGAGGAGCAGAAAGAACGTCAGCCAGGAGAGGCTTAGGGGAGGCCAAGGCAGAGGGAAACCCGGGTAGCACTGGAGCGGAGAGGGAGCCCCAGGTGCGTGAGGCCACAGAGAATCCGGCCTGGACCTGGATGCTGTCCACGCCTGGCCAGATAGAGTCCTCCTCCCATCTGTGTCCTCTGACCCCGACGGGAGAGTGGAGGCTGCGAGGCTCCACCAGCTCGGTTGCGTGGGCGAGTAAACCCCTGGGCGCAGACCTGTGTGCACACTCCAGGCGCACACTCAACTTGAGCCAGCACTGCCCATGCAGGGCGGGCGCTGCCCGACAGGGGGAGCCCGAGACCTCCTCCCCGCGCTCGGGAGCGGCTCGGCCTCCAGAGGGCGCCCGCACCCACGGGGCCCCCTCCCCTGTCGGCTCGCCCTGGAGAACCCAGCTGCATTTGACTTGCGGCGGCGCCAGCCGCACGGATTAGCGTCCTGGAGCGGTTTAGAGTTGAAGAGCCTGGTCCCCCCTTGGGACCACGGGTTGGGCCTAATCCTCAGCTAACGACTCCTGCTGTCCCTCACCTGCTGCAGGGGCAGCACGGCCTGAGTGACTGGGAAAGGGCAGGGAAGGAGATGGGGTGAGACCCGGAACCCCAGAGACCACGATCCAGATATGGGAACACAGGGCGGGGCGGGGTGTCAGAGACAGGGCCCACAGAGACCCGGATGGGGAGCAGATGAAGCGTCGAGAAGTCGCGGGGAGGCAAGGGCGGAAGTGACCATCTGAGCTTCAGAGCGGACTGGAGACCCACGGGATGAGAAACCGCGGAGGTGCCAGGACAGCCTCGGGGTCTCCCCAGGCCTAGCTCGCCAGAACCAGGCAAGCGAGGGCCCGAGAGCAGAGGCCAGGCGTCCCCCCCGGAGCCCTGGCTCCCCAGCTGTACCGCAGAGGACCAGATGTGCAGCCCAGCTGGGCAGCTGCTGGAGTTGGAGCCTCAAGACGGGTTGTTTTAGCTCCACTAGGACGCATCCTCCCTGGCCCAGCCCCCCGGGGGGTGCCAACGCTCCGGAAGGGCCCTGCTCCGTTCCAGGCT